AGGCATCGTCTGAGGGCAAGAGGGGACGGGGGTCACCCCTCCACTCTCCCGAGATGGGGTCCTTACCCACCTCGAAGAACTTTAAATAAATTGAGTCTTTACTGGATGCAATACCCTCGCACCGGCCCCACAGACGCGAACGGGGGGCCGACGGCTGGGCCCTGGCCCCACACCGATGGCAGAATGCAAGGGTAGCTCCAGCAAGACTGGTCCGGTGTCCCCGAGCGCTACTGGGCCCTACAGGGCCCTGAGCGGGAAGGGGGACATCAGGGAGGACGGTCTCTTTCGCAGTCCAGGAGTCGGTGCGCCGCGGACCCCCAGAGGTCCTGGGCCTCTTGGCGGGCTCAGGCCCGCCGAGGCCAGCAGGGAGCGGAGGCTCGCTGCTAGCGTCAGCGCCAGGGGCCAGGAGCCTGGGGGCCTTCGGAGGGGGGCCAGCGCCAGGGGCCAGGAGGAGGAGGAGGAGGAGGAGAAGGAGGAGGGGGGGAGGAGGGTGGCCGACGAGCGCTTCACTGGGCGGTGTCCCGATAGACGATGGACGTATACTCGTCGTGTCATGGTTGGTGGTCTACATGGTGCACGCTTATCATCTGTCTATTGCGGTTTCGACGATGCGTCCCGCGTGGACATCGAGCCGCCTTAGGATCCTTGAAGCGCGTGGGATGCTATACGATCTACACATACTATCATGTCGTAGCATTATCTGTCTTCGTCCGTTCTTTTGTCTGTTCTCCTATTCTCATCCTATCTTCTATTCTGCACACTCTCACCATGGCTCTGTCTATCCCCCCTTTCCTTCCCGACACTCCTCCTCCCGCTCTACTCTATCATCTCTCTGCTCCTCCTCTCCTCCTATCCTCCCTCCTGGGGCTCCTCCCCCCGCGCGCCCGAAAGGCCTGAGTACCTCCTTCTTCTTGCCGCTCCGCTCCTCCTCCGTCCTCCTCCTCCTCCTCCTCTCCTCCTCCTCATCCTCCTCTCCACTCTCCCTCCTCTCCTTCTCCTCCTCCTCCTCCTCCCCTCCTCCTCACCTCATCATACCTCCTCCTCGCCCGCCCTCCTCCTCCTCCTCCTCCTCCTCCTCCTCTTCTCCGCCCCTCCCCCTCCCTGTTGGCCATCCCCTCCCCTCCCCTCCTGAGTATCATCTCCTCGTCCTCTTCCTCTCTCTCTTCCTTCCGCTTCGTCCCCTCCCCTCTCTCCCCTCCTCTCCTCTCCTCCGCCTCCTCCTCTCCTCCTCCTACTATCATCTCCCTCTACGTCTTACGTAAAGCATTGGAATGATAGTGGAGTAATTATTATTATTATTATTATTATTATTATTATTATTATTAATATTATTATTAGTATTATTATTATTGTTATTATTATTGATATTATTATTATTAGTATTATTATTATTATTATTATTATTATTGTTATTCATATTATTATTATTATCATTATTAATATTATTAATAATATTATGAGTATGATGAGTTTTATTAGTAATAGTATTATTATTATTATTCTTATTACTACTATTATTATTATTAGCATCCTTATTATTATTATTATTATTGTTATTATTATTATTACTATTATTATTATTATTATTATCATTATTATTAATAATAATAAGATTATTAGTATTAGTAGTAGTAGTAGTAGTAGTAGTAGTAGTAGTAGTAGTAGTAGTTGTAGTAGTAGTAGTAGTAGTAGTAGTAGTAGTAGTAGTAGTAGTAGTAGTAGTAGTAGTAGTATTCGTTTTCCTCTTCCTCTTCCTCTTCTTACTCTGCTTATTCTTATTATTATTTCTCTTATTCTTCTTCTCCTTCTTCCTCCTCCTCCTCCTCCTCCTCCTCCTCCTCCCCCCGACGGCACCGGCACCCCGCGCAGCTCGGGCGCGCACGCCTCCTCTCACCGAGCGCGCTCCACTACTCGCAAAGTGCCTACTCGCAAACGTCAGAAAAACAGGTCTTTCTCGATGTGATGTGTCGTGAATCCCCCGCGTCGGATCAAGGCTATTTGCGAGTAGTTACTTTGCGAGCAGTGGAACGCGCTTGCCCCTCCTCGAGGACGCGAGAGAACGGCGCAAACGTAGAAGCTCTCAGAACTCCGCGGAGATTTCCTGGACCAGCGCTGGGCCGCCCCCCTCCCTGGCGCGCGGAGCGCGCCAGGGGCGGCGCCGGCGGCGCCGCCAGGGGCCCCCCCCGACGCGGATCCAAGAAATCCGCGCGGAACTCCGAGGGTTTATGTGTATGCCTTCTGCTCTCCGTCGAGGAAAGGCATGCGGCTGGGAAGCCGCCGAGAACCGACGAAACCGTTCGAAAAGCTAGAACCTCGAGCCTCCGCTCCTGGGCCAGGCTTTGCCCCCGACGCCACCGGCACCCCGCGCAGCTCGGGCGCAGGCGCCTCCTCGGGTACGCGCAACAACGGCACAAACATGAAGGGGCCCCAGGACACACAAATAAATACACACAAATAAAAACATTCCCCATATTTTTCCATATTTTCTGGGTTTTTGTCTTCCCCCCCACTTCCCATATTTTCCCATATTTTCTGGGAATCTACGATTAATTGTGTCTGTGTGTTTTTTCCCCTCCTGAAAACAGAACGACCCCTGGAGCTCCGCGCGGACTTCTGAGACCGGCGCGGCGCCAGGCCCCCAATGCTTGCGCGCGGAGCGTGCCAGGGCCGGCGCCGCAATGCAGGGGGGCCCAGCCAGCGCCGATCCGAGATCCCATAGGCGGTCGACGCGTTATCGATACCTCTGCTCGCGCCAGAACTCTGCGAGGCCGCGGAGTGGGGGCACCGGTGACAATCCAGCCTCTGCACGTCAAGCCCTGGCGGCCAGCGGGGGTCAGCAGCAGGGGTGCAGCCGAAACATGGCCACAACAACGGGGATCAGAAGCATAAGCCCCCTCGCCAAAGGACCGAGGCCCCGCGGAGGTGCCGAAGACGAAAACACGTCCCAAGGTGGAAAGCCCAAACATGAATAACATGAGGGCATCCCGCCCAGACCAGGAGCGTTTTGACCCACGTGCCAGTTGGATGGATCGAGTACCGATCCCCGACATCAGCCCCTTGAGATCCGACGTTTCGAAAAATTGGCAACATCGCGACCAATCAAGACGAGAGTACCATGCCCCATGGCTCTTGCCGCATTTTGTCGAGCCGGGTGGGCCCGAAGCCGCTCGCGCTCGAAAGCGCCCGGCGCGAAAAAAGTTGCAACGCCCGGATCTAAAGGGCCAGCGCCGATCCGAGAAATCCGCGCGGCGCTCCGATAGCTGAAAGTCGGGAACTGAACGTTTGCTCAACGTGTCGCGGCGGCGGCCCCGGCGACGCGCTATGTATTGCAAGAGGGGGAGGAGGAGGAGGAGGAGGAGGAGGAGGAGGAGGAGGAGGAGGAGGAGGAGGAGGAGGAGGAGGAGGAGGAGGAGGAGGAGGAGGAGGAGGAGGAGGGGGGGACCTGTGGGTGCGACCTGCAAGACTTGTGGGAGCTGGACAGCGTGGTCGTTCCGCGGGGCAGAGGGGCGGGGAACAACTCCTTGGCTACTCCTCCCTCCTCCTCCTCCTTCCTCCCCCCTCCCCTCCTCCCTCCCCCCCTCCACCCCTTCCCCCCTCCCTCTCCTCCTCCTCCTCCTCCTCATCCTCCTCCTCCTCCTCCTCGCTGGGGAGAAGGGGACGTGGATAGCCTGTCGCGCCGAAGCGTGATCGGCCGGGCCCGGCGAAACGATACGCTAAGCCAGCGTTCCTGACCGTATGCCTGCTCTGGATGGAACAATAGTCGCCCCCCCTTGGATCCACGGGGGGCGGGGGGAGGGGCACGCCTTGTCGGAAAGGGTGGAGGGGGTATGGGAGGAGGAGGAGGAGGAAGAGGAGGAGGAGGAGGAGGAGGAGGAGGAGGCCGAGGAGGAGTTGTTGTTGAACTCTCACTACTGAGTAAGTATTGTTGATCCCCCCCCCTGGTGACCATTGTGCTTTTTATTGAAATGCTCCCCCCTTGGCTCGCACCCTGTTTTTGATCAGGGAAAGTCACGGGGCTCAAACTGGGCCCCTGGCTCCCGCTTTACAACAAAAGCGGTTCCCGCCTGATACCTCCTCACAAGTTATTCCCAAATCGCGCTCTCGCGCGGCACTTCCTCATAATTCATGTACGCATCGCGCTCTCGCGTGGAACTTCCTCGCAATTTATTCAGGCGATGCGCCCGCGGCGCTCAGGAATCACGCTCTCGCTTTGGTTATTCTCTTGATTTATTCGGGAATCGCGCTATCGCTTCGAGACTTCCTCGCGAGTCATGCAGGACCCATGCTTCAACAACCCGCCTGCTCGCCTTGGTCGTCTGGACCCGCCTTCCCGACTTCCGCTATGGGTCTGCCCACCCGATCTGCCCGTCTGGTTCTACCGATTGTTTTCTGCTCCTTGCCCCGCTCATGTTAATTTCTCTCGTGCTCCATTCTTATTCCTCCCCCTTCCACCCGTCCTCTCTTCCCTTGTTTTAGGATCTGCACTACATGTACGTGGCAGGCCAGGAAGGTATACCCCCAAGGGGGTACGATCGAAGACGACGAGGACAGGTACCGAGGGTTTGGGGTACACGTATTGATTGGCACGTGAGCACATAGGAGCGACCAGTCTTAAACTGATTGTTGTTGGTAGTGGTGGTGGTGTTGTTGTTGCTGCTGTTGCTGGTGTTGCTGGGGACGGGCCTGAAACCATGAATCATGATCTGCGCCATCCGAAACCTGAGGCCTCCCAAGGAATGTCCGCCTCTTCTTGAGCAGGGACCGACCGTCCTGGCATTCCTATAATCATACCACGAAATGTTCTTAGAACACAAAAGGGTTCTAAGAACAGAAACAACGTTCTTAGAACATAGGCCCGACGTGTTAAAGCACGACAGCCCCAGCCAGAAATGTTCTGAGAACATTTAGTGGGAACCACACATTGTTGGGTGGGGCTAGAGGCGAAGCGGGACGCTTCGCCACTGCTTGGTCTTCGAGGCCGAACGACTACATCCTCTGCTCTCGCGAGGCGTTAGCCCCTCGCAGAGTCGGACGGCCGAGGACCTGACGCTCCCTGGGGGGCCCGGCCACTCTCCTCCAGCGCCTGGGCCAGCACCCGACGCTCGGCGAGGTGCGGGCCCCCGTGGGCCCCCGGGGCTCCCGTCTTCCAGGCCGCCACTGCAGGGCGCAAGCCTGCCACAGGCCGAGTCCGCCTCAGCTGGTCACCCTAATTCTGCCCGCGGACGACTCGGGCCTGCATGGCCCCTGGGCCCCAGCGGTGGGCGCCCCCAGGAAAAGGAGGAGATCCGCAGCGGCAGCAGCACTGGATCCTGCTCTCTGGGAGCCGAAGCGGCCCAACACGGCACGGGCAAAACACGCGTGGCCAGTGTCTTTTAGACCATTGCCCAAAGAATCGCATCCAGTCCGCCTCGAAGTCCGAAGCACTGCCAGCATCGTTCTGATCATCGGCCAGGGCCTGGCTGCTGACAGCGTCTCCTCCAGCCGCTGTACCTGGAGGGTCGCTCTCGGCCGCCGACTCTGGCGGGGCCACGAGCCCCGTGGTGTCGCGAGGCCCTCCAGACGTTGCGACCCCGAGGCTGCCAGCCCACCTGCATACTTCTCGGGCGAGGCTCCTGAGGCCCAGCACTAGTTTGGCGCCCCTGTCGGTGACTCCGCGACAGGCAGCCCCTAGCTTGGCAAGCCTGCCTGCGTCGCTGTTGGCGCGCTGAGGAGGAGGAGGGAGGAGGGGAAGGAGGAGGAGGAGAAGGAGGAGGACAAGACAAGACAAGACACACTTACGATCCACCGAACTGCTACACATGGCAATGCAAACAAAAAGAGAAGCGACGCCTGGAAGTTGCAGTCGACCTATTCTGGATATGTGTACGCTTCTGTGAGCGTCTGTCTAGATCGCTCTGCTAGGGGGCACCGCTGGCTCAATCCGAGAACCTCCTTTCGGGGGAAACCTGGAGGCCTCGGCTAAGCACTGCACCGCAGCTGAACGGATACGCAAGCGAGTCGAGAGGTCGCTTGCCTGTATCATGATATGGAAATATGAAGTGCACAACCGATGAAGCAACATGCACACGCACACGTTGCACAATGTGAAAATGCTGAGTGCAAGACAATTGGACTGACAGGGCAACAGAGACGAGCTCAGAACAGAAAATGACCTCCGCGCCCGAAGGCCACCCAGTCCTGCCTTACGGCTGGGGATTGGAGATCCTGTCATCATCGCCCGTGTGATACAACTCATGGTTTGCACGCGTGCTCACAAGTTGGCGATGGGCCTGGTCATCAGAAGAGACTATGGCAACCTGTGGGTCAACTCGCATTCTCATAGATCGAACATTCGAGGCCCGCCGAGCCAAATCCACCAATCAAATAGTGTGCTGCAACTCATCTGCATAGAAGACTCTGAGCTCCTGTCCAGCGGGCGTCTGGTAGCATAGGATCGGCTCTGAGCACCCATTCTGCAGATGGGATAGGCCAGCATGCTGTAATAGGCCATCTCTCGCCATCTGAACCATTCGAGCTGACCCCCTGATCGTAGTCAAGGTAGCTAGCCCTCGCTGAGCTCGTCCTCGCTGAGCTGCTCGTCCTCGCCCCTCTTCATCCCGAGCTTCCCCAGCAGGCGCTCCGCTTCGCGCTCGAGTCCCCCCTTGGGGGGGCCTCCAGGCTTGAACTGGCCCCCGTGCGAGACCAGGCTGTGGAACAGGGCTTTGTGCACCGTGCCGACGTTCTCCCCGTCCCAGGCGATCGTCGACGCTTGGAGTTCGGACGACAGCATGCACTGGAGATTGAAGAACGTCGGCTGCTCTTTCTTCTTGCGATTGTAGTACGTCGGCCGCATTCTGCAGTATCTCACCTGATCCTGCAGCACCTGCAAGTTCGACTCGGGGGTTTTGATGTTCCCGCCCCAGTAGACCTGCATAGCCGCTCTGCTCTTGACGGGGGTGTTCGGGTGAGCCAAGAGCGCCCCGACCAGCGCCATCCACATGCGGGGCCAAGGCGGCCCCAGACCGTGCTCCTTGCCCTTCTCTTTGCACGTGAGCGAGTAGAGCTTTCCCGCCTCTTGCAGCGCAATCGCGATGAAATGCGCAGCGGGAAGCAGAACGCAACTGAACGAGGCGCCAATCAGGTCGGCTACGTCGCGCGAGTTGGCGATGCACAGTCGGGCCAGGACGCGCATCAGCGACTTGCAGGGGCCGAGCTTGGTGGTCTCCATGGTCTTCTGCGTGTCCTCCTGGAGCTTGTCGAGCTGCGCGGACTTGCGGGGGCTCTTGGGCGCTGGCTCTCCGTCGTCTTCGCGAGGCCTGCCGACCGCCAGGCCCCAAGCTGGGACCATGGGGCCCTTGTTCTGCTGTGGCGAACCCGACCCCGCTGTCGCTGGCTGCCCCGCCGCTGGTCCGTCTGGCATCGCACGCAATCGGAAGCAGTGCGAAGTGTTCACGATAGTGTAGATGTAGTGATTCACGCTCGAGACCAGGCGTATTACATAATCTGCATGTGTGAGTGGTGTGGCCTCCACCTCCTGCTACCCGAAATGTATTAGATCTGCCCATGATACATAAGCCCGTGTGGAACGATATCTTAACGTGCTTGTAGGCCGAGTTCCGAGCCTCGAAGACCTGGCCGCATACGAAGCATTGGTTATCGGTAGTGAGGAGACCCAGGATACTCTGGAGGCCATGCCCTTGCTGGAGATGACTAGTGAGCTGCCTTTGCGTTGCGAACTTGCGACCACAACCTCTGGTACAGCATGCGTACTCTTCGTCGTCACCAGCTCGCGGATCTTGTTGGGGTTCTGTATGGGGCATCGGGAGCCTGGAACCCTGGGGGGGGAACACTTACAGTCCAGGATGCTGCTCGAAGTTCACTCATATCAATTCTGCCAAACCAGCCAGATAGATCAGGGTCATCAAAAAGCGCCAGAGGTCGGGAGTCCCAGTCGTCAATTTTGTCTGAGTGTTCCCCCCCAGCTTGCGAAGAGATTCAACATCAGCTACAAACCTATGTGCCCATGGAGATGCATGTTGTGTGAGTCTACCAGACGCATCAATTAGCTGCATATCACGTTCACGCTCAGCACGAATCGGGAAGAAAAGAGCACCCCAATCAGCAGCATGGAGGTGAGGCTGCTGGACCCATTTCTGATACCACTTCAATCTGCGAGCTCTGAGCTCTGTCTCCAAAGGTGCAACGCGCCAGAGCTGAAGAACTCGAAGAGAGGGGATGGAGCGCTGATGATCATTGTGCCATTCTGCGGCCGCTCCTCTCAACGCTCGCCGTCCAAACTCGACAATCTTGTTCTGCAATCTACGGACCTGCTTAGGAGTCGGGAGGAACGCCTCAAGGGCCGAGACCGCGGGGCCGACAACCTTGCTGAGGAACATGGCTCTACGTTCAACATAAGGGATCCTGGGGGTGTACCAGTACCAGCCCACAGACCAGTAGCCTGCTGTTATTGCATCTAGTCTTGCATGTAGTTCACTATTGAATTTACTATCATGTCGTACAAGAGCTCCTAGATATTTGGCTACGTCGTTCGGGGTGCCTGCCATGGGGAGTGCTTCGCTCTTGATCGCCTACTTGCGTGTCTGTTGCCCTCGACCCTGGAACGAGACGACGGATTCATTCTTAGCGGGGTTGAGCATGTAGCCGCGCTTGGCCAAGCATTCGCTGAGGATCTGATTGTAGAGCAACGATTGCCTGCTAAGGGATACTGCTCCATTTTCAGACAAGTCTGCGATCAACTTCCGCAGCGCGTCATCCACATAGCTGTGAAACGATGAGTCCAGCTCTAGCGGCTCATGCCCTTCTGGATGCAAATCGACAACACAAAGCTGGGCAGTCGGCTCGCCTGATTCAGCAAACACTGCCTGTGCCTCCTCAAAGCAATCTCCGATGTCCCGGACAAAAACTTTGACCGCCCATGGGTCTCCTTGCAGGGCCCCCACCCAAGGTTTGACAAATCGGTGCCCATCGTGCCCTCGAAAACAGACAGCCGAGAATTTAAACGTCTGTTCCCCATAGACGTGTTCCCCCTCCTGCATCACCTCCATGTTGGCTCTGACCAAAGACTCCCACGACGTTGACCCAAATGCGTTGGTAATGTCTTTGTGGTCATTCACAAACTCATAGCCTAAGCGACGCAGCCTCCAGCCGAGCGCCTGCTGTGCCAAGAGCGGTGTCTCACGCCGACGACGGGAGACACACCCGTGAGACGAAGGAGGCTCCTCGTCCTTCTCGCGAGGACTGATGCACGTCGAAATAAACGCTGTGCCGAAGGGACAGATAACATGAACCACCCGCTTCCGGGATAACGCTGCCGCCTGAGAAAGATGCCAGACCAGGGGGACCTGTCGGGGCCGTCGGATTTTGTGCATGAAGGAGACCAGGAACCCACGCACTGTTTCCAGTTTGATGTCTGGCACCTCGTAGCCTACCCCACGGCATCTCTTAGCCGTCCGCCGATAGGGGGAGCAAATCACCCAGAACAGTTCTAATGGTACAGACCACTCAGGAGCGGCCCGCCGACGCCCTGCTGTTTTTATGCATTGCCGAACTTGCTGCAGTTTCTCCTTGGCCCACTCGAGGCCCTCTTCAGTATACTGCCCCAGAAAGTAGTGCGCTCCTTGTCCGTGCTCTTCGTCATATAAGTATTCGTCGGCGTAGGCGGGCCAGTCTATTGCAGTTGCTGCCATACCTCCCTGAGAAGCTGGGAGGAGCCCCCTATCTTGCAACTCTTTGCCTGACGGGAGAGCCGAAGGGGGTCTTCGATAGTTCCTCTTCTTAGGCCCCGTCCCCCGAGCAGAGAGCAACCTAGATAGTCTGGCCACCTCGGCCTGTCGCCCGAGCTTCATCGCCTCGTGGAGCTCATCTGCGACGTCGGAGCGCCACTGCTTTAAATACTGGCGTCGGAGAGCCCTCAGAAGTTTGCTGAGAAGGTAAATCTGCTGTGCAAGGTCTGCAAACTCTGAAGACTGGGCAGCAGCCAAGGATTCGCGCAAGTTACGCCGTTGGGCCAGAAGAGAGACCATCTGCTAGGACTTCTGTGAGTAGTCTGCCGAGCGCTGTACATTCTGGGCAAAAAGCTGTTCCCCAACCGTGCTGAGTAGGTTAATGAAGTAGCCCCACTCTGCATTAGGTGTCTGCTCCTCCCTCCTGATCTGCTGCCAGTGCTCCTGCTCCTCCTGAAGTGTTGATTCAAGCTCCTGCAAGAACTCAGCCCTCCCCACTCCACTCCTCAAGCTGTCCATCAATGCCTCCTTGTTCCACCTGACATACCGAGGGGCAAATCCAAGGCGAAGGTTGGGTTGCAATCCCAATGTTTCTCCTCCTGTGGTGGCCTGGATAGTATATTCAAATCGAGCATGCAGCGGAAGATGGTCGCGATGATCGCGATGTCTGATTAACTGCAACTTCCTAGCAAGACTTCTGAGCGGTCCTGCCGAGGTGATCGGTGGGAGCGAACATCGAGGTATGCAGATGTAATCTATCAGCGATGTGCCACCAGCAGGTCCTACATATGTAGGGCCGACTCCAATATGCAAGTTAATCGGGACCAAATCAAGCATCTGAAGGAAGGGCAGTAGCACATCCGCTGAGTGACGCTGACGACCCAACCAGTGAGAATGCCCTAAGCCATCGTCCTGTACGGGCGTCAAGTCCTCGCTTCCACTCAGACGCTGCTGCCCAAACGCTGAATTCAAATCCATGGCCACTATGGGGAAGCACCGTGAGATTCCAAAGATGGGAAGGCCCCTCATCCAATTGACCAGAGCTTCGCAGGTTTTTGCATATGCTGGAAATTCAGAGGCCCATGAAGGGGGAGGAGGGAAATACACGCATACTACCCCAAGATCGAATTGGCTGTTGCGTGCTCGGATAGCGATGCCTCTGCCAGCTATGTGAGCTGGCGATGACCAGGTATGCGTAATTGATCTTTTGGGGATACGTGGGCCGAGCAAAATACTGCATCCACAGCTACGATTGCTGCCCGCCGCCCTTGCCCATCCTGCTTCCAGTGTCCACCTCCTCCCCGCTCTCCTCCAAACGATCTCATCCCTCCCATGTCGCCGTGCACCCGTCCCTGTGAGACAGACGAAGTCGAACTGCGATGTAACCTCTGCCACATCCACCAGCCTATCGTGTGATGCCGCTGACATCGGGTTGTACTGCATCACCGAGATGCCATTCATGATGCTACACTGGCTCCTGGCGGCCAGCAGCGATCCTCAAAGCATCAACACTCAAAGGGAGAGTCCCATGAGGGTGTCCATCCGAGGTGTGGCGCAGCTAGCACCGTCACCAAAAAGGGAAGTGTGGTGGGGGGGATAAGGAAGGCTGCGTTATCAGAATGTTGCACCCCCCCGTCTGGGCCGGGGTGCTTAGAAGGAGGAGGAGGAGGAGGAGGAGGAGGAGGAGGAGGAGGAGGAGGGGGAGGAGGAGGGGGAGGAAGGGGGAGGAGGAGGGGAGGAGGAGGAGGAGGAGGGGAGGAGGAGGAGGAGGAGGAGGAGTAGGAGTAGGAGTAGGAGTAGGAGTGAAGGAGTAGGAAGGAGGGTAGGAGGAGGAGGAGGAGGAGGAGGGGGGAGGAGGAGGAGGAGGAGGGCTGAGGAGAATCGGGGAAATGGGGGAGGGGGGAGGGGCAAGCTCCGTCAGAAGGCCGTTGAGATAAACACCCCGCCGTTGTCTTCTCTCTCGGGCCTCCGGCGCGCCGTCCGCGCCTGCGCCCGCCCGCGAGGCCGCCACCGGGCGCGCCTCCGCGAGGCCGCCGTACAGCGCGTCCAGGGCGTCGTCCGGCAGCCGCAGCGCGTACTGCTCCTCCGCCAGCACGCCCAGCTCCACCTCGGATCCTCCTCCTCCTCCTCCTCCTCCTCCTCCTCAGCCTCCGTCTTCTCCTCCTCCTCCACCTTCCTTCTTCTCCTCCTCCTCCTCCTCCTCCTCCTCCTCGTCCTCCTCCTCCTCCTCCCCTCGCGTCCTGAGCGGCGGGCTTTTAGCTGTTCTCTGCAGGGGGGGGCCCTTACCAGACCGCAGGATCGCCAACAGGAACGGCCCAGGACGAAAAGCCATGCCAGGGGAGAAGGAAGAAATCCTCGACGTATCAGTCCTGGGTGCACGTCAAACGAGGCCCTGGGCAAGGGTGGCCTCTGGCGCGCGGCTTGCCGATCGCTGCTCAGCGTGCCGCGGCAGTGGCAGCCTGCGCGCGCGCCTCCGCTTGGCTGGCCACTGCTCGAGACGACCCGGACATCCCTTCGCTGTGAGGAAACCCTGGGATCCGACGCTGCGAAAAAATCGCATAATCGCGACATTCACGACCAGAGCCCCAGACCCCATCTTTCTGCGTCATACTTCGAGCCGGATCCATCTGCGAGGGTCCCGTGGCCCGAACTCGGGCGAAGACGCTCGTTGCGAAAAGACTGCAACGCCGGGATCTGGAATCACCACAAGGGGCTTGTGGCAATTTTCTGACTCCGGGGCCCTCGCCAAACCCCGGGACCGTCAACAAAACGGCTCACACGAGACGCCAGGCCCTGGCCATCGCTCGGACGTCCATTCCCTGTTTTTTTTGGGGGGGGGGTCGTGCGTGGTTTTTTTCGCCAACCGATCAAGGATGCTCCTCGATGGCCCTCGCCGAAGGACAAATGCACACGTCCGAGCGATGCCAAGGGCCCGGGGCAGGGGTCCCGGGCTCCGGAGAGCGACGTTGCGAACAAAAGCACGACGGAGCACGACGGCTGGGCAGCCTGAGCAGGTAGGCAGTTCGGCCCTCGGCCGGTAGCCCGCGCCAGCCGCCTGCTTTCGCTGTAAATTAGTAGGTACCGCAACGCAGACTTACTTGGACGGCGCCTGCGCTCTCGCTTGCGCCCGCGACCAAAAAGTATGGGCACGGCTGGGCCTAGGACAGAAGAGCATCCTCATTCAAAAACATGAGACCCTCCGCGGGCCAGACGGACAAGAACGGTCGAGGGTACCCTCCCCCAGGATGCACTCAAGAACGTTCGAGGGCACCCTTCCCGAACCGACCTCGCTCGTAGATACCTCGGTCCGGCCGCATGCGGGCGGGCATCCCGGCCAGGAGCGCTCTCGCGAAACGCCCGGCGTGCAGGAAGGGCGGCTCGCCCACCCAAACCCAACCAAAGGGGGCCACATGCGAACCCTACCCCTGCCCCCCACGATCTCTGAGGGGGAGTGTGGGGCCCACTTCGTTCGGGAACTCCTGAGCGAAGTGAACCCCACCCTCCCCCTGAGAAGTCGTGGGGGCTAGGGGATGTGGCCCCCTAAACCACAATCTGCCCCCGGACCGGACCCCTCCTGGGGTCCAGCTCGGCCCGTGGTGCGCGGCGGACCTGGCCGCGGCGACGGGGAGCCTCCGGGAGGGCCCCCCACGGGAGGGGACAACACGCCAGGGAGGGGGCCCCGGGAGCCCAGCCGTGCGACGCCCCGACTTTCTCAGAAGGGAGCCCCCGGAAGTCCCGCCCCGACTTTTTCGGGAGGGAGCCCCCGGAAGGGACGCCCCGATGTTTTCAGACGGGAGCCCCCGGGACGGGTGCTTCGTCCCGAGCCGTTTTCCGACGGTCCTGGGGCCCCGCCCGGGGCCCCGGGAGGCCGAAAACGGCCAAAGGCCGTCCGCGCCGTGCCTTCCTCGCGACGGGCCCAGAGCGGCGAAACGCGCAGCCGACCCACTCGGCTGCGCGGCTTGGTGGGGTCCCTCCTTCCCCTGTCAGTGGCGTTGCGGGCCAAGGTCATCACCCCATGCAGCCTGTCTTCGGGGGGCCGCACGGGCTGCTCGAGGCGGCCTGGGCGCGTGCGTGCCCGGGGATATCGTTAAGTCGGGCGTGTCCCCCTACAGGGGGATTTTCGACGGAAAAAACATACTCCCAAAATGCTCCCAAATGGTCAAAAGACACTTTTGAAAATAGTCCCCAGACTACTTTTTGACTGTTTTTGAAGATTCCCCCTGTAGAGGGACAGGCCCGACGTCAGGATACTGCTCCAGAGGCGGTCCCAGTCCCCAGACTACTTTTTTGACTGTTTTTGAAGATTCCCCCTGTAGAGGGACAGGCCCGACTTCAGGATATTGCTCCAGAGGCGGTCCCAGTCCCCAGACTACTTTTTGACTATTTTTGAAGATTCCCCCTGTAGAGGGACAGGCCCGACTTCAGGATACTGCTCCAGAGGCGGTCCCAGTCCTCTGAGCCCGCCGGAGGGCGAGGCCACGGTGCCACGGTGCCTCGCGTCGGCCGTTCCCGCTCTCCCGTGGGCACCCTGGCCGCGGATCCGCCGCACTCGGGCTGCTTTTCCGAGGGGACAACTGCGGCGGACGCGCACCCAAAGCGATGCGACAGAGCAGGGCCATGAGCTGTGCCTCGGCGACGTCAACGTAGGGGGGGGGATATTTCCCCAAAGGCACGGCGGAGACCACCAATGACAGCAAAGTAAAGCAGACATCGGCATCAGAGGAGCTCGAAGAGTAGGGCGATCATTGCCGCCCCACTTGCGACATCGCCCGTAAGACGGCGATTCCGAAATCAGGACTTTCCTCCTCTTCCATGTACAGTGGCTCCACCTGGCTGCGGAAGCCGTCGCCTTCACCGTCTTCCTCCTCCTCCTCCTCCTCCTTCTCCACCCGGCTTCCCTCCTGGTCCTCCTCTTCCTCCTCCTCCTCCTCGTCTTTCTCAAGCCTCCCCTCCTACTCCTCATCCTGATCCTCCTCCTACTCCCCCTCCTCCTCCCCCTCCCCCTCCCCCCCCTCCCTCTCCCCCTCCTCCCCTCCCCCTCCTCCCCTCCCCCTCCCCCTCCCCGTCCACCCGGCTGAGGAAGCCGTCGCCGTCCCCGTCGTACTTCTCGAGTACCCCGCGCTGCTCCTCGCCGTGCGCCCGCGCCGCCTCCCGCGCCGCCTCCCGCGCGGCCGCGGCCGCCGCGGCCGCCTCCTCCCCGGCCTCCTCGGGCCATCGGAGAGCCGAGACGAAACGAGCCTCGAGCGGGCCGCGGGCGCGGCACGCCGCAGTGGAAACGATGGCGCTCCCGGGCGGCCTCATACGCGGGGAGCCTGCGCGCCAAGGCCGATGAGATCGACCCCGTTATCTTCCGTCGCTCATCTGGTGAAGCAAGCCCCGAGTCCTGTTCGAGCGGGGGAGGAGGAGGAGGAGGAGGAGGAGGAGGAGGAGGAGGAGGAGGAGGAGGAGAGGAGGAGGAGGAGGAGGAGGGAGGAGGAGGAGGAGGAGGAGGAGGAGGAGGAGGGAGGAGTGGGAGGAGTGGGGAGGAGTGGGGAGGGGGAGGAGGGAGGAGGAGGAGGAGGAGGAGGAGGAAGGAGGAGGAGGAGGAGGAGGAGGAGGAGGAGGAGGAGGAGGAGGAGGAGGAGGAGGGGTGGAGAGGGGACCTCGAGTCCTGTTCGAGCGGGGACCCATACGTACCCCTTTCCCCTGGAGTGCCCCCTGCGGGAGATCTGGGTGGGGCATGCTCCCCTCGCCTCCACCTTCCGCACCTTCGCGCGGCAGGTTCCACGCCGCGGCGGCCGCCGCCGCGGCCGCCACTGCGGCTTCCGCCGAGGCCGCAGCAGCGGTTTCGGCGGCGGCGGCGGCCGCCGCGGCGCGGCACCTGCCGCGCGGAAGGTGCGGAAGGTGGAGGGCGAGGGCTCCTGGGTGCTAGTTTGTCCGCTCCTGATTGAAAAGATCCACGGCGGAGGACTTTTGGCCATTTTCGGCATGCTCGCCGTGTGACAAGCTCAAGGGGCCCAAGGACACACAACGAAATACACACAGATATAAAAGGACTCCCCATATTTTCGGGGTTCTTGTCTTCCCGCCCAGTTCCCATATCTTCCCATATGTTCTCGGGGATCGACGATTCATTGTGTCTGTGTGATTTTTTCCCCTCCTGACGAGATCACGACGGGAGACTTCTGGCCGTTCTCGGCCCCCCGGGGCCCTGGCCAGGTCCCGAGGCCGTCCAGAGCCTGCTCGGGGCGAAACACCGGCCCCGCGGGAAGGGTCGGGACTTCCGGGGGCTCCCCCTTGACAAGACATCAGGACGTCGCATGTCCCCATCTGCAGACATGCCCTCGCCCTCCACCTTCGCACCTTCCGCGCGGCAGGTGCCGCGCCGCGGCGGCCGCCGCCGCCGAAACCGCTGCTGCGGCCTCGGCGGAAGCCGCAGTGGCGGCCGTGGCGGCGGCCGCCGCGGCGTGGCACCTGCTGCGCGGAAGGTGCGGAAGGTGGAGGGCGAGGGCATCAGGACGTCGCATGTCCCCATCTGCAGACATGCGACGTCCTGATTTTTTCACGACGGCGTCCCTGGAAGCCCCGACCCTTTCCCTGGGACTGGCTTTTCATCTGATACGTTTTTTGATGGTCCCGGGGCCTGGCGAGGGCCCCCAGGGGCCGGAAATAGCGAAAAACTTGCCGTCCGGATCTTTTTACGACGCGATCATGTCTGGGTCTGGGCGAGCCTCCCCACAGACCCCCCAGGACACGGAGAAGAAGCACATCCGCGCCGCCACGAGGGGGGCTAGGGGAACAAACAGTGGCATAAACATAGAAACTCGGAGGTCCGCTCGGATCGGCGCTGGGCCCCCCTCCCTGGCGCGCGGAGCGCGCCAGGGGCGGCGCCGGAGGCGCCGCCAGGGGGCCCCAGCGCCGATCCGAGAAATCTGCGCGGACCGCCGAGTTTTTGTTTATGTCACCTCTTGGTCCCCTAGGGGCGCTGGGCCTCTCCTCGGCGCCGGCGCGGAGGTGCCTCGGCGCCGGAGGCGTGCTGCGCCACCAAGCCGGCGCTGGCGCTGGCGGGCCACGAGGCCCCTTATACCCAGACTGCATCGGCGGCGAGCCCCGGGGGGGAAAAGAGAAGGAGAAGGCCTTCTCAGAAGGCTCGGAAGTCCCCTGGCCTGCTGAGGAGTTTTCCTAGCCTTGCCCGAAGACATCGAAAACTTCTCAGAAGGCGCGAGGGCTGCTGAGAAGTCCCGCCGCCTTCTGAGAAGGCCTTCTCCTTCTCATTTCCCACCCTCGCTCGCCGCCGATACCAGACCACCCCAACCCAACCCGAAGACCCGAACTTGACCCGAATTTCGGGTTGGGGGGGTACGGGTTCCATGTGTTTTCTCAATGTGCCCCGACCCCCCCTCCCACTGGAAATGGAAGGCAAATTGAAGCCTTCGGGTTGGGTTGGGGTGGTCCCTCCTCGTTCCTCCCTCCTCCCTTTGGTGGGTGGGGACAGACCCCTCGTCGTGAAACGAATAACGATGGGAAATTTTTGTGATTCTCGGCCTCTGCGGGCCCTCGCCGGGCCCGAGGACCGTCTCAGAGCGGCTCGGGATGAAAAAAAAACGGTCCCAGGGAATGGCCCGAGACCTGCAGGAATATCGACGTTTCGAGAAAAAATCACGACGTCGGGCGCCTCCCCGGCAGAACTTGCCATCGCTCGGACGTCCATTCCCCGTGCACGTTTGGGTTTCGTGCGTGCCTTCTTGGCCAGATGATCCAGGACGCCCCTCGATGATCCTCGCCGAGAAAAAATGCAC